ACACCATGCATACCTACGGGGGTCGGGGGGAGAAAAGCTGACACTGACAAGATTAGAGAAAAAGGATGTTTCCATCTTTGAAACACTAAAAATAAAAATTTCTGAGGCTAAGCTGCAAGTGGGAAAAGAAAGGCCAGAGAGGAAGGTGGGAAATTTCCTGTATCCTAGGGAAAGCTCAGAAGTACAAGGGAGGAAGTGTGACTGATTTCCCCAAAGTGTGACTCACAACACACTCGTCACTTCAGACGACTCTTAGAGGACAGTCCTCTGGTTAGACGAGCTCAGGAAACACTCGTGGAGGGCCCAGCGTATACTGGGGTACCAAAGGCTCTGTGGGGACGAGTGCTGACTCACGTGGGTTAACCTTGTGCCCCCCCCACATGGGTAAGGCTACTTCAAAAAGTGTGTGGAAAATGGAATCCCAAACACAAGTTCATTTTGGTGCAAGACAATTTGGAAGCCCATGTGTGGCTTTTCGTAACATGTATTTTCCATGAACCCCTGGGAGGCTCCATTTTGGAAAGCACAGCTGGGGAGAAGCACTGTCTCCAGCAGCACCCAGGGTGCGCCATGCCCGGTGCCAGCCAGCCCCAGCAGAGCACGGAGCTGGTGCAGGACACTCCGGCATCTGCTGTTTGAGGCCTGGGAACCAGTTATACAAATCGTGTTACAGGAACTTAAGGTGGTGGCTACATTTTGCTGGTCTAATATGTGTTTTGATTTCATAACTGAAATAGAAAGTCTCCATTCACCTAAAATACAATGTAGCATCTTCCCCTCCTTTCTTATCTAAGGTGCTTGAATTCAAAAACTCAGCACTGGGGGTGGGCACTTGGCCTACAGGTTTAAGACTCCACTTGGGATACCTACAATTCCAAATCAGAGTGTCTGGTTTGAGTCCCGGCTCCTCCACTTCCAAGTCCAGCTTCCTGCTCATGCACACTCTGGGAAGCAGTAGGTGGGGGCTCAATGGGATGCATCCCTACCACCCAGGTGGGAGAACCCGGAGTGAGTTCCAGACTCTTGACTTCAGCCTGGCCCAGCTCTGGGTGCTGAGGGCAATTGAGAAGTAAACGAGTGGATGGAAGATCACTGTCTGTCTGTCTCTCATTCTCGCAAATTGAAAACAAAACAAAACACACACAGTGGCCAGTGTCATGACACCATGGTTAAGCCGGAACACGAAACACCAGCAGCATCCTGGTATCTTGTAGCAGAGTGCTGATTCGAGTCCTGGCTGCTCCGCTTCTGAGACAGCTCCCTGCAAATGAACCGAAGCGACGACAGCCCTAGTGCTTGGGCCCCTGACACCCATGTAGGAAACCTGGATGGAGTTTCAAGCTCCTGGCTTCAGCCTGGTCCAGCCCCGGCCATTGCAGCCATGTGGGAAGTGAATCAGCTAATGAGAGCACTCTGTCTCTCTGCCTTTCAAATAAGTAAAAAAAAACCTTAAAGAAAAAAAAAAAAAACACCTCAGCACTATCGCTATCTTTTCCTCTCTTTATTATCAAGCATGTGGTGTGCTCTAACTACAGGCCACGCCTACAGCTGTCCACCATCTTCTGCACAGGCAGACCTGCGGGAGGCCATCAGAGGCCTTGCTGAACAGAACCCAAGAACATCGTGCTTACAGGGCGTCACTCCTCCAGTAACAGCCAGGAGGGAAAGGAGACAGCTGTAACGGCCTGTGCAAAGCCCTCCCTGCTGGATCCCGGGGACGGTGGCTTCCTCTTCCAGGTGCCACTGCCCTGGCTCTCTTAACAACGGGCTCCTTGGATCCTGTGATCAGCACGTGCTTACTGGCACCAGACAAGTGTTTCCTGACCTCATGACTTTTCTTGAACAAACAGTTGCTGGACTGAAGTGACCTGACATTTACCTGTTCTCTCTCACATCCTCTGACGTCCTTCCTATGGCTGTCTTGCTTGTAGGTTTCCAAAGGGCCCTGGTCTGCACCTCACTTGGCTCAGGGACTCAGACAGTCTCCAGGGGTTTGCCCACCACCTGCTCTCCCGCCTTGAGCTTTGGTTTCCTTGTAACAGAGTTCTGCTCTCCCTCCGACAGACCCAGATCTCACAGCTGGCCCCAGAGCCTCTGGTGCTTTCCTACCCTGTGGTCCTCTCCATCTCCTGGAACACGCAGGTCTCCTTTCTGCCTGGAGGTCCCTGGTCACTGGCCCTGGCTGAGACGCCCATCTCTCTCACCCACACTTTTCTTTTTTTTAAGTATTATTTATTTGAAAGGAAGAGTTAGAGAGAGAGAGAGAGAGAGAGATTGACCTTCCACCAGCTGGTTCACTCTCCAAATGACCTCAACAGCCGGGGCTGGGCCAGGCTGAAGCCAAGAGCCATCTAGGTCTCCCATGTGGGTGGCAGGGGCCCAAGTACCTGGGCCATCCTCCGCTGCTTTCCCAGGAAGCTGGGTCAGAATTAGACCACAGGGACTCCAATCGGCACCCATATGGGATGCCATCATCACGGGTGGTGGCTTAACCTGCTGCACCATGACCTCTGACCCCAACCCCAATCTTTAGAACCTAGTTTACATGCAGGCTCTTCCAGGCCATGCTCTCCCTCTCTCCTTCAAGATTCTAAGGCATCTGGCAGCCCTTCCCCAATTGGATGTCATTTGAGACTAGAAACAAATTGTTCCCTGGAAGGTCCCACTTGCTCTAAGTGGATTGGAAGCTTCAGGACACATAGTGTCCTTTAGATTCTCCCCACAGAAACTGGCCCAGCACTTGGAAATTGCTCTGCTTCCAGCTTCCCTGTGAGCCAAAGGGAGGCACACAAAGCCCTTCACCTTTGACAGGGCTGTACACCAATAACAATCCTGCTACCTTGAGCAGACTCAAGAGTTTACCTTGAAAGGAAATGGACACTGGCCTTGTACAAACAGGCATGCTCTGTGTCGTCAGATGAGTGTCAGTGCAATTCAGCACAATGATTCAATTAACTGTGTTGTCACTATCACTAACAGTGTAAAGTGGGAGTAGAGAACCATTTCCCTGCCAAGGGCCAGCTGGATATTTCTAATATCATTCACGGCCACACAAAATAATCAACCTAAAAATCAGCCTGCTATAGATTTATCGAATATCGAGTCCTGCCTGTACTTGCCTTGGCAGGGCCAGACCAAATGATTTTTGATACAGCCTGCAGGCTCGACATTTCCAATCTCTGGAAAAGATATGAATTTGAGGGGCCAGTGCTGTGGAGCAGTGGGTTAATGCCCTGGCCTGAAGCGCCGGCATCCCATATGGGTGCCAGTTTGAGACCTGGCTACTCCACTTCCAATCCAGCTCTCTGCTGTGGCCTGGGAAGGCAATAGATGATGGCCCAAGTCCTTAGACCCCTGCACCCACGTGGGGGACCCAGAAGAAGTTCCTGGCCCCTAGCTTCAGATCGGCGCAGCTCCAGCCATTCCTGCCAACTGGGGAAGTAAACCATTGGATGGAAGAACTCTCTTTCTCTCTCTCTCTCTCTCTCTCTGCCTCTCCTCTATCTGTGTAACTCTGACTTTCAAATAAAATAAATGTTAAAAAAAAAAAAAGATATGAATTTGAGGGGCTGGTGTGGTGGTACACTAAGTTAAGCTGCCACCTACACCGCCAGCATCCCATATGGGTGCTGGTTCAAGTTCTAGCTGCTCCACTTCCAATCCAGCTCTCTACTTAATGGCCTGGGAGACAATGGAGGACGACCCAAACTGAACTCTTGCCACCCAAGTGGGAGATCCAGAGGAAGCTCCTGGCTCCTGGCTTTGGCCTGGCCCAACCCTGTCCATGGTGGCTATTTGGAGAGTGAACCAGTGGATGGAAGCTCTCTCTCTCTCCCTCTCTGTAACTCTTTCAAATGAGTAAATAAATCTTTAAAAAAAAAAAAAAAAGGATGAATTTGAAGATTTGGGATATACTTGAAATACCAAAGTTATACTCTTGGGAAAAAAATAATACACAAACAGGGAATAAAGCTACCTCAATAGAAACGCCTCTTAGAGCACTCTGTTTCTCCAGGTTGTGGTGATGACGGCTACTGTGCCTGTAGCAGTAGTGTCCTAAGCAGGGCTAATGTCCAACCACCCATGGATTAGAAGTGCAGGGTCCCCTCGACTCGCAGATGACCTGTGGAGCAGACCTTCCCAGACATGTCGCCAGGGGCTGGCACGTCGGCCAGAGGCCTCGAGTTAAGCGTGCTGTCTCCTGCGGCGCCCCAGAAGACTCAGTCTGACTGGATAAACTTCCTGAGTTGCCTAAAAGTCTGACAGCGAAATGAGCGGTTTTGCTTTCTAAAAGCAACAAGGAAAATGCATGGCTACCCAAACACAGGCACTAATCAGTGCTTCGCTCTCGGATAATTAGGGTCGTCTTCCCCACCCCACCTCAATTTTGCTGCAAGGCCACTTACAAAAAAACAAAAACAGGAAAGAAAACCAAAATCCACCCCGGCTATTTCCCTCGGCTGATTCAGGTTGGGAGCAACATGGAGCGCACTGCCGCTGGGCGTTCAGCTTGTGGGCACGGGCTAAGGGGGTATGGTATGGCCTGCGCTGCGGCTCAATAGGCTAATCCTCCGCCTGTGGTGCCGGCACCCCGGGTTCTAGTCCCAGTCGGGGCGCCGGATTCTGTCCCGGTCGCTCCTCTTCCTGTCCAGCTCTCTGCTGTGGTCCGGGAGGGCAGTGGAGGATGGCCCAAGTGCTTGGGCCCTGCACCTGCATGGAAGACCAGGAGGAGGCACCTGGCTCCTGGCTTTGGATCAGTGCGGCGTACTGGCCACAGCGGTCATTGGGGGGTGAACCAACGGAAAAAGAAAGACCTTTCTCTCTCTCTCTCTCTGTCTACTCTGCCTGTCCAAAAAAAAAGAAAAAAGGAGGGGGGGTATGGTGGCGGTGGCAGAGCTGGCTCTGCAATGGAACACCCAGTGCCTATGAGATTGGACCCCTTGGCCTACCCCTGGCACCCACAGAGCCTCTCCTCCTCCCTCCGTCTCCCCAGACCTCACCTGGTTGATGACGTAGATGCCGTAGTCCAGCTGCTGGCGCTGCAGGATTGGGTGCAGGTAGTACAGCCAGTACTTGAGGTGCTCCTGCCGGTTGCGGAATGGGATGATGATGGCCACCTTGTGGGGAGAGATACAGTCCTTGGGGGTGTAGCGCCCGCCCACCTTCACCTCTGGGTTCTGCTTCGCCAGGAGCTCCAGGTCCACAGGGATATTAAACTCGATCAGCATGGGGCCGACTGGAGAGGTGGAGGGAGGGAGGGAGAAGTTAGCAGGCCCAGGATCGCCACCCCCACGGGCCGCACGGGACAACCAGGACGTGGCTGCACACAGGGTGTCTGCTCTTGAGGGCAGCCTGGCCAGCTAAAGGGCATTCATGCGTGGCACAGGTTCCGTGTCCAGCATGCAGATGCCCAACCAGCCCAGTAAATCCTCAGTGCCCAAAGTCCTGTGTCCCAGGGACCCCCTTAGTGCTGGGCAAACCCCAAGCGCTGGTGACCCTGTCAAGCACTCACCTGCCCTGGACCCTGCCCCCAAGACTGGAAATGTCTCCCACTCAGACTTCCCAGCCAATGGGCGGTTGTTAAGATCAGTGACCATAAATTAGAAACCACTTTCTCAGAAATCCTGGGGTTGCAGGGAGGACGTTGCGGTATGGGAGGTTAAGCCACAGCTCAACTTCCAATGCAGCTTCCAGCTAATGCACCTGGGAATGCAGCAAATTATGGCCCAAATACCTGGGCCCCTGAACCCATGTGGGAGACCAGGATGGAGTTCCTGGCTCCCTTCTTTGGCCTGGACCAGCCCTGGTTGTTGCAGGCATTTGGGGAGAGAACCAGCAGATGAAAATCTCTCTTTCTCTGTCACTCTGCCTTTCAAACAAACAAGTGAAACTTTTTTTTTTTTTTTTTTTTTTTAAAAGAAAAGTCGGTCAAACAGCTCTTGGCTCAGATGAAAACCTGATGAGATACAGGCGGCTGATTCTGGAGCAGCGGCAGGTGAGAGTAGAAGGGAGAAGCAGCGCTGAGCTCCAGGTGCGGGCCCACGGCACACACACTTGCTGCATCCAGGTACGCACGGAGTATCAGACCCAGGGCCAAGCTGGAACCCAGCTGCCCGTATTCTCTGACCTTCAGACTTCCTCAAAATGGGTTCCAGGAAATATCAGACCCAGCAAGATGCTGCATGGAAAAACAGCCTGTGGTCAAACAAGGGAGGGAACGCTCCTGCTGGAGCCTGCTTCTGGAAAGTGCGTCAGGGCTGCGAGGTTGTGCAATCGAAAGAACCCCTCACCTCATTTAACCCACCACTGCCCAAACTTCCTGGACCTCAGAACCGCTCTGCCAGGAAACCCGCTTGGGGAACGGTCACCTGAGAAACAAAGGAGCAACTGAGCGGAACAAAGTAGAGGATCTGGGCATCTAGGGCAGAGCGGGGAGAGGGGACAGCATGGAGGCCTCAGTCACTCACCCTCCTGAGAAGAGGCTGCCCTGGGGGCGGCGGTGGGGCTGGGGGAGAAGCTCCTCCCCACAGGCCCTTTTCCCCCAAGACGCAGCTCTGATCACAGCACTTGCCTGCTAAAAGCCGCCAGGCACTCTGAGGTCCCGTCATTTGGTGAAAAGGCCTCTGGTCTCAGCTCCGTCTCCCTCCCCATCCCTATAAATCACGCCCATGGCTACCCGGTTCCCTTTGCCACAGGGACCCTTCCCTCGTTCTAGTGGGCAAACCTTCGCACTCGCCAAACTGCTTGCGGTCCCAGCTCCAGCTGGCCCCATGTGAGGTGAGCAGACATTGGGCACCAGGATAGAGTCAGGGGTCACCCAGGATCAGTGTCCCCAACCCCCTCATCAGAATCGCCTGGGGCAATTTCTACAGATAAACAAGTTCAGTCATCCACCCTGCCCCCCACACACACCTAGTCCAACTCAGATTTTGGGGAGGCCCCGGGTTGATGATTAACAAGGAGTCAGATGGTTCTGGGCCCCGCTCCCCCATAAGCAGAGTCCTCAGGGCTTCCCACCACGCACACCCTAACCCGCAAAGTCTAGGCTGGGGCTGATCAGCTCCCCAACCCTGGCAGGACAGAGCCCTGGGACCCACTGCACAGTAAACACAGGAAGATCTGTCACCGAACTCCCACTTCAGAAGCCTTGTGATATCTGCAGTGCCCACACGCCACCCACCCCACCTTTGGTTTTGAAGATACTTCTAAACATAACCCCATTTTCGGGAACCCAAGAAGCATCTGGGCTGCCACCTCGGCAGCTTGCTCACACCTTCTGAAACCACCCAGAAGGCAGAGCGCACACGTGGCCTGACCAGACACCTGCAGGCTGGAGGGTGTGCCAGCAGTGCCCCTCCAGGGGCCCTGGGGCAGAGAACAGGGTGGCCTGGGCCCTGGACCAGATCCACCACCAATGGCTTGTTGGATGCCATCTGCGCAAGGCCATTCCTTGGAGGATACTGGTCTCCTGTCTCTAAACTGCAGAGATCACACTGGATGATCACCAAGCTCTCAGAAAGCCCTGATGTAGACTGGGCCAACCAGAAGCAGAGCAGAGACCCAAACCGAGATCTTCTGAAAATCCTGCTCTCATCTTCCCTGTCCCGCAGAGAGCCCTGGCTGACCAAGGAGACAGGAAGAACTGGATGCCCTGGTGGCAAAGGTGGAAAGCAGCCCTGGTCACCATACACTCTCCCTCTCTCCCCTCCCTCATCACCCACGCTTTCTCAGCCTCTCTCCCAGGACCCCTGCTTCTCTCATCCAGGCCTTTGGTTTGAGCACAGGACAGTTCTCAAGCCTCTGCCTCTATCTGACATCTCTCTCTCACCCCTCCCCCCCCACACCCAGGCAATAGGACCTGGCCCCTTCCATGCCACGGGTACCTTAAACTCAACCCAAATGAACTCTGATTCAATGCCATTCATAACCACCTACCTCCTCCGGGGTTCCCTAAGCAACCGGCACTGCTGTCCAATCAGTATGGGAGGACACCTAGGTGGTCCCTCTTCGAGTTCCCGTCCCTTAGTCCACCCCAACTCTCCCTCTGTCTCTCACACCCCACACACTCACACACATGCAGTCACGCACTCACACGCACAGCACGCTGACCATCATGATCCATGGGGACCTATCCAGGACAACACAGTCTTCACTCTGGAAGAGGTGTCTACTGCAAGCCCTCCCTGTGATAGGTGTCAAGCCCACTTTCCACTTGTTTCAATCAGCACCTCCCAGGTACCTATCTTGTGCCAAGCTGAGTGCCAGCCAAGGAGGGGTGGGTTGAGATGGAGGAGGAGGAATGGACGAGACGGTTCCTACCTTCCAGGAGCTCCCAGCCAAGCATGTGGCAGAACCTCCGTGCAGTCGCCCCGGTCAAGGCTGGCCCAGGGACTTGCTCCTCCAAGGGCTCCGTGCAGAGCGTGGCCTTCTCTCTCTCTCCCGTTCCCACCTCTGCTCCCTCTCACCACAGCCCCGTGTGCTTGGACGCGCTGAGAGCACCCTGACCTCCAGTTCCGCCTGCCTTGCCCAATCTGGCAATTCCTTCCCCGTTTCTCTCTGGACCCTTCACAAGCCTGGGACTCCTGCAGCTCTCATCTCTGAGACGGAACAGCACACAGCAGCCCCTCACCTGGAGCCGAATGCCTTCCTGGGTCCAGTGCCAGCCCGAGGCCTCCCCGAGGGCCCAGCACCTTCCTGCCACATGGTACAGACAGTCCTCTGCCCCACAGCTGGCGCTGAGAAGACCCAGAGAGCTCGGACTCCAGGAGAGCAACAGCCAGCCCCACTGACAGTCGGGCAGCCTGCCGCCAGCTCTCGGAGCCAGTGCCCAGGGCCATGGGGAGAGGCTGCCAGAGGCGGCAGAGGGCCGAGGACTTCCTAACAGTCCACAGGCCAGGCCAAGATGCCCTTGCTGTGCGGCGCATGGCGTGTGCTACCACACTCCTCGGCCCTGCTGGGCCGGCTTGTGTGTTTTCCTGGCTCTGGGAGCTGGGACGTGGGGTTACGTAAGCAGATGAGCAGATGTGAGCTGTCCTCGGCTCCCCCGGCTCAAGCCCCGCCACGTGGGCCTCTCGGCTGGGAGTCCAGGTCACGGCCTTGCGTATAAGTCGCTCAATAACTTCAATGTGTGAGCTCAACTCAGACAAATTCCACAGCTCCCCTGCCCGGCATGGCAAACCCAAATACACACACACACACACACGCGCGCGCCCCTCCATCAAAAGCCTGCTAATCTACGCGGGCCCCAGCCCAGACTTGCTTTCATGCTGGCAAGATCACTAGTTCAATCCTCCAGACTCAGCAAAACAGGTTGGAACTGCTTTCCTCCCGGTTAGGTCTAAGACTCTTGTGCTTGGCCTGAGGCTGGACTGTGACAATGTTTTACCAGCCTGGGAAAAAACAATAAACGTGAAGACCACGTAGGTGGTTTCTCATCAAGCTAAACAGCATCAGTGTATAGGAATGCGCTGTTCTCAAGCGTAAGTGCTCGTTATTCTTCATCCAAACAATTTTATTTATTTGAGATACAGGGACAGACAGCACGCATTCCCATGTTCTGGGTCAGTCCCCAAATGCCCACAACTGGGCTAGGAACTGAATCCGGGTCTCCCACAGGGGTGGCAGAGCCCCAATTACTTGAGCCATCACTGCTGTCTCCCGTGGTCTGCATTAGCGAAAAGCTGGAAATCAAGCGTTACAATCAGGAACTGAACCCAGGTACTACAATATGGGACATGGACATCCTAACTGCGAGGCTAAACACCTGTTCCTTCTTAGTCTGTAAATGTTAAAATCTCTTTTCTCTCATGAAATGATAGTGGTGAATTTCCGTGCTGGATTTTATTTTTTTATTTTTTCCAAGAATCCCCTGGCAGCCATGGGTCAGGCTCCCAAAAATTACTCTTGAAAATTTCCTAGGCAAGAAAAGCCCAATGTTTGGGAAGGATCTGAGAATGCATGGAATTATGCAGACCCAGAACTTTATGGTTCTGAACACCGGGAGGCTGGAACGTCTCCTGGGCCAGGTCTCAGGTCTGAGTCCACTGCACATCTCCTCTCTACAGTAAGTAAACGTGGGTGGCCCTTTTCCCTCGGTATCCAATTCTCCGAAGGCCAGATAGCACTGGGAGGCTGAATCAGGAGCTGTCATCAAATTCCTGGGCTCGGGGAAGGTTTGCTCGCAGTGGTCCCGGGGAGTCCCAGTGCCCGCTGTGGGCCCTAACATGAGCAACGAGGAGCACCTTTTCCCCTGTCCTGTGGGAAGGACGACAGGCTCTGCCGGTGTCCAAAGACTTCAACATCACCAAATCTAACAGTGCCCGGCTTCAGCTCAGACGTCACCTCTCTCGTGAAGCCTTCCCTGACCACCCGAGGTTGGCTTGCAGTCTTCACCCACTTCCTAGACATACTCATGGCATCACAACTATTGAAACACGTGCCCACTTGGTATGTTTCTGATGTCAACGGGTGGCAAGTGCAACTGTGGTGACAACAAGCCGAACTGGCATGAATGAAGGAGAATCGGCCCCAGGGGCCGGGGGAGAGAGTCAGGGAAAGCTCTCCAGAGAGCTCACCATCCAGTCGTGTTCCTTTGTCACCAAGCCCGCTTGGCTGCCACAAATCTGAGTACACCAAAAGTCTCAGCCGGCTGAGCAGCGCACCACTGTCCCTCCTGCTTCTCTGCCACGGGAGCAAGCAACAAGGCTTTCCATAAATCTACAAGAACAGCTGATGGGAAATCGCGGGCTAGAAACCACCAGAAGGGACTGGCAGCTCCCAGGTCAACCATTTCTCACAGAGTTGTAAAACCCAACTCAAAGGTACCGGGAATGATTTATTTCTTACGTCAGATGTCCATGGTGTTTTCCTTCATGGCTTAGGGCATATCTTTAAAACTGAGCAATCAATATCTTCAGACATAACCCAGTCCCCTTCCCAATACAGATCTTCCAAAATCAGTGTTTCAAAACATGGCCACGTGACTGAGCAAGAGGATTTGTCACAAAAACAGATTGATCACAAATGCTAACAGGATCTGTCTCGAGCACGCCACACACACATACAGAACCCCGCGCCCACCCCACCGCTGCTGCTGCCAACGCACCATCCGAGACACTGCTAGACCCTGGGGGAAGAAGTGCTTTTTCAACAGGAAACAGAACACATCTGTGGTCTCAGTAACCCTGCACTTGGGGGACAGAGAGAAAAACAAAGTATGCACATTTGCTTGAAAACCAAAGGCGTCTGCTAGAGGAGGGCCACAGAGGAGAGCCCAGGTGGCCAAGTGGGGAGCTGGACCAAGGGGCCCCGGAGGCCAACTGCTCCTCCATCTGTGTCCACGGCAGGCCCTGTCCTGGGCAGGAGCTGCCCCACTCTGCAGTCTTCCAAACTACGTGAAAAGTGGCCTCCCCAGCAACCTCACACCTCGGGTGGAGCTGCCATCTCCTACGCCTTGCTCTCTCTCCCTCGTTAAAGCCCAACCTGACCTTTCGTGGCCAAGCACTGGAGCTTGCTTTCAAAGTGCTGGCGAGTATTCCATCTTTTGCAGCAGCTCTCAAGCTGTGCAGAGCAAGGAGAGACATCTGGGGGCACGTGTGAAGCTGCAGATTCCGGGGTCCTACACAACAGATGGAACGACTTGGTCAGCCTGGGCCGGGGCCCAGGAATCTGCATCTTAACAAGCACTCTCAGGGAACTGTAAAGCAAGAGCCCAGACTCTATTTTGAGAGCTCCAGAGGTTTACTCATTAACCATCACCTCCCTCTCACCCCTGCAAAGCTCTTTAAGTCTGAGGTTCCAAGTTAAACAATGTACATCCTGGGATTATGGTGTACGACAATCACTTTATAGGACAAAATTTTTTTTTTTGAAAAGCAGAGCAACACAGACAAAGGAGAGACAGCACGACAGCAAGAGCAAGACAGATGATTTCCATCTACTTTTTTTTTTTTTTTTTTTGACAGGCAGAGTGGACAGTGAGAGAGAGACAGAGAGAAAGGTCTACCTTTGCCGTTGGTTCACCCTCCAATGGCTGCTGCGGCTGGCGCACCGCGCTGATCCAATGGCAGGAGCCAGGTACTTCTCCTGGTCTCCCATGGGGTGCAGGGCCCAAGCACCTGGGCCATCCTCCACTGCACTCCCTGGCCACAGAAGAGAGCTGGCCTGGAAGAGGGGCAACCGGGACAGAATCCGGCGCCCCGACTGGGACTAGAACCCGGTGTGCCGGCGCCGCAAGGCGGAGGATTAGCCTAGTGAGCTGCAGCGCCGGCCCTCCATCTACTGTTTCACTCAACAGTCACTGCTTGGCCAGGCTGAAGCTAGAAATCTAGAACTCCATCCGGGTCTCCCACCTGGGTGGCAGGAATTCAAGTTAACTTGAGTCATCATTTATTGCTTCCCAGGAGGCATTTGCAGGAACCTGGATTGGAAACAGAGTAGCAAAGATAGGAACCAGCACTCCAATATGGGATTAGGCAACCCTAGCAACAGGTTAACCTGCCGCCCCACAACTGCCCCACCTCTCTGACAATTTTGATCACATAACAGAACCTGTTTAACTTTTCAAAACATCCCTCAAGGCCCACAGGGCCAGTTCAGAATGTTTTTGACACCTTTCACACCCCATGCACCTGCTTCCTCCATTAACCATCTCTGCAGGCAAGTGTTCCTTAATTCCTTTCCACACTTGGGACAGTTCCTGGCAAAGCAGAACCAGTGAACACAGCACTTGTTCAACTAAGTTAAGAAGCTGAGCTAGGGGTCGGCCTAGCTGTTTGAGACACCACCATCCCATATTGGAGCACTGGTTCAAGTCCCAACTGCTCTGCTTCCAGTCCAGTTTCCTGCTAATACACCTGGGAAAACAACAGAACATTGTGTAAGTACTTGGGCCCCTGTTACCCATACGGAGACCAGAATGGAGTTCCTGGTTCCTGGTTCCAGCCTGGCCCAGTCCTGGCTATTGCAGCCATTTGGGGAGTGAACCAGTAGATACAAGATATCTTTCTTTCTCTCTTCCCATCTACCCCCCACCCCAACTCGTCACTGTGGCTTTCAAATAGCAAACAGAGTAGAGCACCATCTTGCCCTTGATGCCTTAGAACCTAAGATTCTTATTCTAACTAAACACCTATAATGAACATGAGGGCAAATATATATAATGAACACCTGGGCTCCAAAGGTGTCTGTTTTTTCCGGCATAGCACCGGATCCAGGAGGACAAGGGACCTCCCTCCACCTTCAATGTTAGAAAAACTTTCCTCCAGGCTAGTCTGGGTCTGTAATTTGAGACTTTGTAACAACAGATGGCCTAACCTCCTAATGCAAATACTGTTTCCTTGGCTAAGTCTCATGTTGCCACAGCCAACAGCATCTTCTTAGCCAAACTCCTAAGAGGGTAACTTGAGAGAGTAACTCCAAAGTGCATGTCTGCCGGGGGTGGTGAGAACAGCAGGGAAGCCTGGGGTGGCGCTCAGCCCAGGATGCCAACACTAAAGGAACCAAGCCTATAGCCAACAAAGCAAAACTCCGCTACCTCAAAGGGGCAGGATCCACTTCACACCAGACCCGAAAGAATCCCAGCACACCAGGGCCACAGCAGCCTTGAGAATCATGTTTCTGGGGTAGGCACTGAGTGCAGCAGATAAGATATGCCTTAGGGCTTCGGGAACCATGGGATATGGTGTAGACATGGCCAAGTCCAAGAACCACACCACACACAACCACTCACAAAAATAGCACAGAAATGGTCTCAAGAAACCCTGATCACAAAGATATAAATCTCTCAATGGGGTAGAGGAACACAAGATTTGCCAAGATGCACAAGAAGGGCCTGAAGACGACGTAGTAGGCCAACAAGGCCAAGGCTATGAGTGTGCATGCTGAGGCTATCAAGGCCCTTGTCAAGCCCAAGGAAGTTAAAGCCCATGCCCCAAAGGGTGTCGGCTGCAAGCTTGATCAGTTTGCCTACATGGCCCACTCCATGCTTGGGAAGCACTCTTGGGCCAGCACTGCCAAGGGTCTTAGGCTATCCTGGCCAAGGACCAAGGCTAGGCCTCAAATCAAGGCCTAAGCCCAGGCTGCACTTGCAGCTGCAGATCTAGTTCCAGCTCAGGCCTCCACAAAGGCTCTATGGTAACAGTCTCTGTCAATCAATGCAAGGACAAGAAATAATGTGACTGCTAGCTGCTCTCTGCTTGGGGCTAGTGACCTTCTGTGCTGTTTGTACAAATAAACCTGAGGCAAGGTCTCTTTATTTTTAAAGATTTATTTATTTATTTATTTGAAAGGCAGAGTTACACAGAGAGGGAGAGACAGATAGAGAGGTCTTCCATCCACTGGTTCACTCCCCAAATGACTGCAACAGCTGCAGCTGAGCTGATCTGAAGTCAGGAGCCAAGAGCTTCTTCCAGGTCTCCCACACAGGTGCAGGTGCCCAAGGACTTGGGACCATCTTCTACTGTTTTTCCAGGCTGCAGCAGAGAGCTGAATTGGAAGTGAAGCAGCCAGGACTCAAACCAGTGCCTATATGGGATGCGGGCACCCATATAGAGAAAGAGATGCCATTCAGGTCACCAACATCCCATATTGAAATGCCTGGGTTCGAGCCCCAGCTGATTCCAGCTTCCTGCTAATGTGCACCCTGGGAGGTAGGAGGTGACACTTCAAAGTGCTTGGGTCCCAGCCACCCACATGGGAGACATGGCTTATTGTGGGGAGTAAACCAGCAAATGGAAGATTTCTCTCTGTCTCTGTGTGTGTGCACGCACTTCTCTTTCAGATAAACAAAAATAGAAAAAAAAAAATTTAAAGAAAGCAATATGTTTTACATGAAGGAAAATGAAGGCCAGAGATGTTGGATTGGTAAAAAATCTGTCCTTACCTTTCCCTGAACAACCCCGCAGGGTTCTGATGTCCCTGCATGCACCGGCACAGGGGAGAGTGAGCTGCAGCACACCAGGCCTCTGCTGTCCCTGCGCTGTGCCAGCGCGAGTCTGTCTCGGAACCCTTCCCAGTCTCGGGCTCCAGGAAGCCATCAACTGATTGAGGCGGTGGAAAAGTGAATGCTGTTTGACATCTCTGATCTAAACCTTCCTCCAACATCTGTGCACCCCATACACACCTCTGGCTTCGGCCAAATTCAGTGGGGCAGCAGAAGCAAGGAGAAGCCGTGGGAACACCTCTGGGAAACCCCTGGGACTGGGGACGCGACACTTCCCTCGTGTCCTGGGCTAACCCAAGCAGACGGCTTCACCGCTGGGGAAGCCACAGAGCAGCAAGGTCCTGGGGTCAAGACACAGCGCCTGGGAGTCACGAGCTTTTAAAGCCCCACGACCCCGCTCTCCTCGGTGCTTGGCCTGGGGGGGGGGGGGGGGCAGGGTAGAGACCCAGGAGGAATTCCTGCTTTGTTTGGTCCTGATCCAAAGGCAGACGCCGCCTTCTCACTCCCTCAGCTGGGATTTGTAGAAACTGCGCTTGCTCACAGCTCTCACTACCAGGAGAAGGCTGGGGAGGCCAACGTGCCTGGAAACCCCACATGAGCCCCAGGAAGACGCTGCGGCATCTCTCGCCTCTGAAAGCTAGAGCACTTCCAGACGGCAGGGCTGGGCTGAGCTTCGCAGAGGACAAGGACGGCACACACGTGCCTTGGACATAGGAGCTCTGCGGGCCGAGTTCCAGACTGCTGCAATAAAGCCAGTACCGCAATAAAGGGAGTCATATAAACTTTTTTTGGTTTTACAGCACATATAAAAGTATTGTCTATTAAGAATGGAATAGCACGATGTCTAAAAACAAGTACATCTCCTAATTAAAAAATACTTGTTAAAAAATGCTAACAATCATCTGAGCTGTTGGGAAAATGGTGCCAACAGATTTACTCTACCTTGGCTGCCAAAACCTTTAATCTATAGAAAACACAGTATCTGCAAAGTGCAATAAAACGAGATATACCAGAGCCGGCATTGTGGCACAGCAGGTTAAGCAGTTGCCTGTGAGGCCAGCACCCATATGGGCACTGGTTTGAGTCCAGTCTGCTCCAC